TCTAAACAGCACAATGCAATCTGTGAAGGTCGGCTGTTTCGCTGCGTCCAGAGTCCTGTGCTCGGGTAGGATACTCCGTCCCGAGTTGGTTAAACTATCGGCTTGTTCTGTCAGTCAGAGCCGCTTCTGCCGAACAGCCACCCAGCCAGAAGGCACCGCGGTTATTCGCGTCCCTCGCTGCCTGCAGAAGCGCGTTGACAACGTGAAACAGACTCGAGGCAGGAACAAGATCAGCACCGTGAAAGCTGGCAGGCTCCTGATCCAGAGCAAGAACCCCGAGCTGAACCAGTCTGTGGGCTACGTGCTTGGGAAGTTCCAGGAGCCCATTCTCTGCTCCAAAGGATGGAAGCATTACAAGTCATTCGGTGACCATTTCACCATCAACAACGTTAAGGCTGTTGCGCCCTTTGTTGCTGACAGTCAGAAGGAGGGGGTTGAACAGAAGCCGTTGGCGACTTTTAAAAACCTCCACATCTGCAAGGAGCTGGTGGAAACTTTGGATAATATCAACATTACCCACCCCACCACTGTGCAGCTGCAGACCATCCCAAAGGTCATGAAAGGTCAGAACATTCTCTGTGCTGCAGAGACCGGCAGTGGGAAAACCCTGAGTTACCTCCTGCCTGTTGTTCACAGACTGAAGGCTGATAAGGAACCAGAGATGGACACAACGGGTGCACGCCGGATCCACACTGTGATACTTGTGCCTTCCAGAGAGCTGGCTGAGCAAGTGGCGGCGGTGTCCAGGACTCTCTGTGCTCCGTTTGGCTTGCTGACAAAGACCGTGGGTGGTGGGCAAGGGGTAGGACACATCAAGGGGGTCTTCAAGAAGAATCAGCCCGATATTTTAGTGGCTACACCTGGTGCTCTGGTCAAGGCCCTGCGGAGACGCTGCCTGGACTTGAGCGAGCTGAGCTTCTTCGTAATAGACGAGGCGGACACCATGTTCGACCCCAGCTTTTCTGATATGGTGGAGGACATCCTGCTCCGCGCAAACATCGCTAGTAATCCCAAGGAAACACGAGGCCCGGGGCACAAAGCCCAGCTGCTGGTAGTGGGGGCCACCTTCCCCGGTGGTGTCGGCGAAGTGCTCAGCAAGGTCACAGACCTTGGCAGCATGGTGGTTATCAAGAGCAAGATGCTGCACTTCCTCATGCCACATGTCAAGCAGACGTTCCTGAAGGTGAAGGGTGCTGACAAGACCCTGGAGCTGCACCAAGCCCTGAAGCTGCTCCAACAGGAGAAAGGAGGGGGCGGTGTTTTGGTGTTCTGCAACAAATCCGCCACCGTCAACTGGCTGGGGTACTCGCTGGAGGAGATGGGGGTGCAGCACGCACGTCTGCAAGGGGAGATGCCTGCTGCCGTGCGTGCAGGAATCTTCCGCTCCTTCCAGAAGGGCACGGTGGATGTGCTGGTATGCACAGACATTGCTTCACGTGGCCTGGACACATCCCGAGTGCGCTTGGTTGTCAACTACGACTGCCCAGAATCCCATACTGACTACATTCACAGGGCAGGAAGGGTGGGAAGAGCAGGAGGGATGGAGGACGGGGAGGTGCTCAGCTTCGTCTCTCATCCGTGGGATGTGGAGCTGGTGCAGAAGATTGAGACGGCTGCACGTAGGAAAACTAGTCTGCCGGGGATGGAATCGGATATACACGAGCCAAAGCCCAAAGTACAGGAGGAAAAGGAAAATGTGTAGAAGTGTTTTTTGTATGTTTGCAAGTGGAAGACCCTCTGGTGGGATATGTTACTGTATGTGTAGTGTTGGGATGACACTAAATGTACAATATTGTCAGCAGAAACAGTAAGCAAGATAGAATTACAGTAGGCTGATTTTCTATGTCCACTATGGCTTAAAAATAATTGATCGTTTTGATGTTATTGGGGATGGAAATTCTACTAAACTGTGTGCATTTTTTTACCATACAATCATTAAAACAATTCCCAAAGGAGATCATTTGAAAGATAGATTAATGGCAGTGACAAGTCTTGTTTTTTTGCCAAGTAAAGTCACTTATTATTGGTGTAAGTCCTAATATTTACAATGCACAAACATAAAGACTATGCATTTCCAATAATGGAAATATAGAAAACACCCAGTGTATTCTCTGATTCTAAATAGAATTGTTTTGTCATAATTTCAAAGCACATTGTTATAGCTTATATTTCCTGGTGTAAATGATGTTTGTTTAAACAGATTAATATGTCTCCATTGTTTTCAGTCTTCTGATTTGGTATGTGTGTTCAGAATTCTTTGACTTCAAAGTAAAATCTAATTGCATATTTTTCTCACCTTCTTTTATTGACCATCACTATTTATTCAGGCAATTTTGAAATGTTTGATCTTTGAACAATATACCATCCATTCCCCTTTTTAGCAAAAGCTAAATGGTTTTTCAAAGGTGTGTTGGTCCTGTTGTTTGGTCTTTTTGTGCAAGCATAGCTTCTCTTCCTTAAATACTAAAAACAGGAATTGACCTGGTTGGCGAGTGTAAAGAAATTCTCAAATACAATCTGTTGACCACATCTAACATATGATCCAGGATATGGTATTAAAATAAATTGGCAGATTACACTTAAACTAATACCCTGTTTAGAAACCGGAAAGCACTCTAAATAAGAAAAATACATTCTACTTTGACTGAACTTTCTCCTAAACCATTTAGGCTATTTAATGTACATCTTGCATTGATAGATATTGTGGAGAATTCCTAAATTTTTTTTCTCCTTTTTTTGCCACAATTACAAATAGTTGAATGTGTTTTCCGTTATATGCACTGTACGTGTTTAGCCACTAGGTGGTGGCATTTGTCTGATTTCATCTCGTGTACATTACATGTATAGTTGACAGATATATAGACATATATACAGATTTTTATGCTCAGTACATTTAAGTTGCCACATGCACACTAACTATTGGAAACAGTCATAAGCCCACATGCTGGTTTCAGCAAGGTTTTTACAGTACAGAAACACTTCATCAAACTACAGTAAGTTGAGGATAGGCCAAAACCTGACATCTCTACTGTTGATGTGGTAGGTCCGCTGTACTTGAAAGGATTTTTTTCCCCCTCTTCCATGCCTGCGGGTGCTTGTTGAAAGGAAACCGCAAAAAGTGTCAACATGAAAATCTGCCAGAGTGAAGAAAATCTTGGGATCTTATTTCAAAGGTAATAACTTTTCCTCTGACCCTGATGTTATGGAAACGGGTTCAGTAGGTGTTGTTTTACACAACGTTTTCAGGTTTTTCAGATGACAACAAACTTCCAAGTAAATATTTGTGCCTGGAAGGTGTGTTTGAGGAAGTATAGAGATTATAGAGGCAGACAGACCTCTGCGTGAGGCAGACGTGTTAACGGGTCTGACAGTAACAAGGGGCTTCCATCAGAATGTCTGGAATCTAGCTGTGATTGTCCTGCTCCAGCTCGGGTCAACATCTTTAAGCTTTGCCCCCCTTGGGTTCACATTTCCCCCATCCGTACCCTGACAACAAGGAGCCGGTGTCCACTTATAGCATGTCAAGCAAATGCCTCCAATCCTTCAGTTTATATTTCTGTCCTACCTCAACTTCACTGACCCCTGCAAAAACATTGGATAATAATAAACAAGATCAAATGTCCCACTTCCAGGTAGCCGCTGGGCCCCGTATTAAGTGTTTTACGGCTAAAATAATTTTAGACCACAGAGCTTAGCCTTAAAGGGCCACTCCACCGTTCTCACACACAATGATCGGTTTACTCACTAGGAGCAGCCTGTGAAAACGGTTGAAAACATCTTCTGTGACTCTGGAGGAGCTTTGGAAAATAACTCATATGATGAGGTCATAGTGATGTCATCAGGGTTATATCAGCTTGAGCTACAAATATAGCAAAATGTGAACATTTTCCAGGCACAGATCCGAGAAGCTAGAAAACTGTATTATAGGAGTTTTGGGAGCTGAACCCATACAAGGGACTAAAAGTCAGGATACCTTGGACTTGATTTTTGGCGTTTTTTTAAAGTTTAAAGTCCTCCATCCACTCCTTGTTTGTTACTTGGATGTTTCACAGTGCAGAATGATCTTTGTGTAGAGTTTGAAGTGTGACGTGGAAACTTGAAGCCTGCACTGCCGAATACTGAGGATGGACAATGACAGAGAAAGAATGAATATAATTTGAATATTTTTAAGTAGTTAATTAAACCTTTCTTTGGAAAAACCATATCAGACACATTTCACACAGACTATAGGTCCTAAAACATGTCAGGAGGGGGTCTTTAAACTGCGTCTCACAAGTCCCCCACAATTTTAGAAGGTCAGTACTAAACTTCTGGAGATGCTCTAGGGAAATGGGCTCCTGGGGAGTTGGACAAAGTGAAGGAGAAGCATAAAGATTGGCTGTTTGAGGTCCCGGGCTCCTCACCACCCAGCCTTCAGTAAAACAAACAATGAGCATTTCTGAACTTCCTCTCAAATATTTGAGCAGATGGTGATGTTTGGATGTCTTTCACAGAAGATTCTCCTTTCTTTCTTTCTTTCCTTTCTTTCCTTTTCTGCTCTTTCTTTTTTGGTGGGGCTTCAAACCAATAGTTAAAGGTCATCCTAGGGCCCGTCCTTATTAACCAGACTTAACAATGATAGGTCTGCTGGCAACCAGTCATTTAAAAACAAAAAAAAAGCCTCAATACTAGTGGAAAAATCTGTGAGGTAATTGTTCTTTATATAGCTATATATTTTTTATTTTAATATAAATAAATGTCACTTAATTCACCCACATATAGTGCCTGTGGACTACGGAGGTGTATGGATGGACTACAAAGCGTTCGGTCCATTAATAATGACGCATTTCCTCTTTGCCCCACCGTGGGATTATCTCTCTCCCCCCCCCCC